TTAAAAATAAGATTTACATTATGACTAAGTAAATAAACTGAACTTACTAAGTCCAATCAATATAGACTCACTAAGGCAGAACACACTCACCTGCTTCATTACACAGGGCTTTCAAGTCTGCTCCAACATATCCATGAGCACTATTGGCCAGCTGTACCAGTTCAGCTTCACTGAGGAGATGGGGTACCCTTCGAAGCAGCTTCTGGAGGATATCCAAACGGTCTTCAGCATTAGGAACCCCAATTTCAATCTCTTTATCAAATCGGCCAGGTCTTCGGAGTGCAGCATCCAAAGCATGAGGACGATTAGTGGCCCCAAGGACCAACACTTGTCCTTCACTTTCTTCCTACAAAATCATATGAAATGATGTATTACCCTAAAGTGAAAAAGCAGAGGAAGAGGCTGTTCCTCCACTGGTTCTATAGATAATATATCTAAATCCCCAGACTGCTAAATCTTTCTTATCCTTCATACTCATGTACATACTCATTTCAAATATTTCAAAACTTAGCTTTAATGCTTCTTCCTCTAGGAACTTTCCTAAAAATTCCCTCTCTATCCCTTTTTAAGCAATGTCTCTCTCACTTCTAATATCTTAATTACACCATCTCCTAAGTAGCAATATAATACCTTGCCTTATAACTGTTTTAATGCATGTACTCTTCCCTATTTGAAAGCAAAGACAATGCACCACATACTGATCCAAAAGTGCAAAGCTCTATTAGAAATGTGTCAAAGAAATCTTCCTCACTCATGGACTTTTAAAATATGTTTTTTTAAGTTCCTAAAGTTAACATAACCTACATCCAATTATCAGCAACTCTTTAAACACATGTATATCTTAACTCCCCAAACTAAAATTTAATTTATTCTCTAAGCATGAAACTGGGAGCATCAAACTATGAAGACCAATGAGCATGATATGTCACCTCTAAAATGCTATTCACTAAAAAATCTTACGCAAAATCTGCAATGAAGATTCAACAGTTAAAATTTTTAGTTAACATTACTAGAAATTTAATGAGTAAATCTCAGTACTCACCAAAAATGGTTTACGGGCTTTGTTCCAAGTCACAGTAACCCAAAGGCATCACACCTCTGTACCACAGGAACCCTAAGCCTATGCCAGTAGTAGACTGACTTAGTGATTTATTGTTGCTGTGGTGACTCAATGCACCATGGAAGAAAAACTGCTTGATCCTAAGCTATCCCCATGTTAAGTTGCATGTCAGATTTAATCACTGGGTGATTTTCTGAAGCAGGTCACTAGGTCTTTCTTCCTGGTTGGTGTTACTCTGAAAGCTCCTGACCTTCTAACACACAGCCTCCCATTAGATTCCCTACTTACCAAGGGCTCTTCTAATTATAATTTATATTATTTGTCTCTCTGTATATCTTTAACTTAGGTGTGCAAATATGTTAAATATATATCTATCCATAAATAAAGATATTTGGTTAGCTAACTATAGCTAATATTACTATAGCTTACTATAAACAGATAAACTGGGATTTTGGTTTATAAATCAGTTTCTAGTGCGTGTTATTATAAGATAGTTCTCAAAGTCCCATCTTCTTTAACGCACTAAAAGCATTGAATTCTCCAGTTTCATTAGCTGAGAACTTTCCTAACTTATAATCAGTTGGTCATTCAAGCTCCCTGGGTGATAACCCAGTCACACTTATGTGATTCGTAAAACTACATATGGCACACAAACTTATGATCAGGTTTTCATGCTATTTTCACATACTCAGTTTTTAATAAAGGAACCCAAAAATCAGTAACTAAACCCTTTTACAGGGGTCGCCCGATTCATAACAGTAGCAAAATTACAGTAGCAACAATAATAATTTTATGGTTGGGGGGGGTGTCACCACAACATGAGGAACTGTATTAAAGGGCCACAGCATTAGGAAGGTTGAGAACCACTGTTCTAATTCCAATTACTGTGCAATTGGGTTTAGGACTATATCTTTCTAGAATTCTATAACTTAACATATTATATTTATAAAACTTTAGTTACTTATAATCCTCCAAAAGAAGTGGACTCTTCTGGTTAAAGGCTGTCACAAACTTGGGAGAATCTCTCAATTTCTGTTCTCTATTAGTCCTATAGATATCTCTTTCACAGTTAGCATGCAGTCTTGATTAATAAAAGTGTATGTTGCCCTATCAGAAAATCCGATAATAAAAATTCTCTTTAAATTTTCACTAACACATCCCAATCAGTCTTAGTTTCTTTCCCAGTGCCTAGAAAAAAGCCTTTAAACCATCTTTACGTGAGTTCTGAGATTTACTCATCAAATTTCTAATAATGTTCTCTAAAATTTTTAACTGCCAGATCTTAGAGATTTTGCTTTAGGTCCTTAAGTTAATAGCATTTCTCACAAAAGAAACCCCTCATGTCATACAATTTTATCTTCTGGAAGCGCATGCCATACATTGTCCTGGCAGTTATTAAGTAATAATCTGCTGAAGAAAAAAATTTAAGGTTCTTCTCATTAGTTTCTATAGTTATCATTGCTCTCTCATGCTAGAATACTCAAACTCTTAGATATGCAAAAGCTTTTGTTAGTAGATACACATTATGTGTCAAGACTTCTTATACAGAATCATTAATAGTTTTGTACTTACTGAACCAATTCCATCCATCAGTGTTAAAAGTGAAGCCACAACTCTTTTTTCCACTTCATTCTGAGCCCCTTCTCTCTTAGGGCAAAGTGCATCCAGTTCATCAATAAATATAATTGATGGGTGCCTAAAAACAAACAAGTAAAATGAGTATTTCTAATTTACACTTCATTTTCATTTGACTTAGTTTCAATATTTTAAATGAACTGTGTTTATATTTAAGATTCTCTTAGGGAGACATCGGTCAGTATAACACATGAAAAATTAATAATAATTTATAAATTATCAAGGGTTCATGAAGGAGGGAGGGTATAGTAGGGAGGGAGCTGATACCAAAGGCTCAAGTAGAAAGAAAATGTTTTGAAAATGATGATGGCAACGTATGTCCAAATGTGCTTGACACAATGGATGGATGGATGGATGGTGATACGAGCTGTACAAACCCCCATTAAAATGATAAAAGAAAGACAAAAGCATTGGGATATTAAGCTGAAAAGCCTTAGATTAATTCTAGCTCAAAGTACTAACTCACCAATATCATATTCTAGCTCCATAAAAGTGTAGTCTACCTCCAACAAGAAGATATAGTCCATTGTTCATGGGTGACTACGGCTTGTTTTCTGTAAACACTCGTTTGAACTCTCTCACTAGCAAGTCGACTCCAACAGCGAGTGGTCCTATAAGGTAAAGTTGGCTGCTCTCTAGGGTGTCCAAAGCTCTCAATTTTTTGGAAAGCATAGAGCCTCATCTTTCTCCTAGAGTAGCTCGTGGATTTAAACCACCAACCTCTCAGACAGCAGTCCAATACTTAGCCCACTACACTTCACTTGGGCTCCTCACTGAATTGTAGACCTGAATTAATTCAGAAGTTGGATCTTTTTGAGCAAGATTAAGGCATAATAGAAATAAGCTAGAGATGCCCTTTTTCCCTCCAGTTAAAAAAGAAATTCTCAAAAGGAACACTTCTTCCATAATGAATTGTGAATTCTCTCATAAGAAGAAATATCAACTGCCAGGAACAAAACCAATAAATAAATGTAAATACTAAAATCTAAGATATTACAACGTTCTTCATATTTTTGATCCTGAACTACAAATTGCTATTTCATCTACTATCACTAGGGGGTGGGGGAGCAACAAAAAAAGTGGCACGTTTGATGAATAATTATGCTAAGCTAAATCCCAAAAAATGGTAGAGATTCAGCCATAATGGTACTATATTCAAACAAAATTTAGACCATATTCTAATGCTCAGTGTAATATATTAGTATAGATTATAAACAGGAATAAACAAGAAGAGTTTTTAAAGAACAAAAAACTGTCCCTTTGAAGAGCAGCATAAGAAAACGCTTTTAAGCTTGTGTAATTATTGTAAACAGTCTACTAAGGGACCTACGTATACTGGATATGTCTAAGCACCCCAAAGGAAAAAGATCTTAAAATGCTATGCTCAAGCAAGCTCATATGATTTATCAAGCATTTTGCCTTAATTCGTCTACTCTATCGATAACTTTATAGATTATTTATCAAATTGCACAAAGTCTTAAAACAGCCTTGGCTATTCATTTTTTAAAAATCCAAAAAGAAATGAGAATACCGCAGAGTTGCTTCAGCAAATATCTGACGTAACCTTGCTTCAGTCTCGCCGTAAAATCTGTAACGAGTAAAATACATTTAAAGACCAATTCTTACTATTTTTAAAGTTCTGACTATAAAAGCTAATCTGCCTGTTGAGGTATTTGCAGAATTCTTTAAAGTATTTTCAAGAATTAATTTCCAAACTTAATTTTGAGCATATTTCATTAGTTTATAGTCATAATTTCATGAGACATCCCAAGTAATTGGCCCATTAACATGTGTGGTGCTTCTGCTTTCTCCTAGTTCACCTGGGGTCTTATAAACTTGCCACTGGTCATCCTAGGTTTCTGTTCACCTGGTACAACAGAGGTAAAGGAGTCAGAAATAGAAACGTGATATGAAAAGTATTTAACTAATTGCCTCCACGAATCACTATCACCTTTGACACAGACCAGACAAACTAAATGGTGTCCAGCTACTCTAAGTGAACATTTTAATAAAATATCTGATATAAGAATCCAAATCAAAAGGGGGTAATTCAGAACAGAATTTCAAATTCTCATTGACTCTATATTTTCTAGAGCCATGGTGGTTGGATGAACCCTTCAAACTATAGCTTGGAGATAATCTTTAAACATTAAGCTAAAAACATACCCTAAAGTAATCTTAAAAACCAAATTATGGTACAATGAATTACTTAATATGGCTCTTCTAGCTATCGTTTTTTAAAATTCCCACCAAATGCCTGCGTAGAACCATGCAACTAAGGTTTACAGAAATTTAACGTGGAAATGGTCAGCTTGTCATCTCCAGGGGTTAAAAATAAGCCATCTCAAAAGCAGAAACAAGAAGTCTTACAGGAAAAGCTAGGAGTGTGGCACCTTATTTGGTTGGTCTCCAAGATCCCTGTGTACTGAACCTCGTCAATCCAAGAGACAGAGTTGTGACATCAGAGAGGAAACGGGACCAAGGGCAACGGACAGGGCAGCAGGTATCCATGCACATGAAGCAAACAGAGCACTCTGAAGCAAAGGCCCACTTGCGAAACAAAGTGACTTGAAGAACTACATCAAGAGAACTAGATTTGTTGACTCGCATAGCTAGAGCCAAGCACCTTCAAGGCTTTTGGTGGACTGAAGTGCCTTTGGGACATTTATCAACGGCTTTAAGAGAGCTTTAAAATATTAACTGATCAGAGCAGAGGCTCGGGTGCTGCAGCGGTTAAGAGGCAAAGGACCAGAGAGGAGCATGCCTGTGGATAAATTCTGGACCAATGAATTGTATGGTGAACATTTCTAACCCTGAAATGTACGTGTCTAATTCCCTAATAAACCCTATGACTGCATTGTCTTGAGTGAAGCCATGGCAATTAATTATTAACCCAGTAGAGAAGTAGAGGGTGCCCTAGGAGGGGTGACTGGTGTCAGAAGTGGTAAAGAAAACTGAAGGGTAGAGGCATGTCTAACCTCTGCTCAAAAGAATTGGCCTTGAGTTCATGCCAAGTTTGATTCTACTTCTCCCGTGGAAGTCAGAGGCAGCCAGGTGTAGCCCTATGCCACTCTTACACAAATAGCTTAGCTAATTTAAAAGATTTGCCTGGAGCATTGTGCCCTTTAAGATCTATATGAAATGTAGCTTTCAGCAGGAACTTAAAAAATTAAGTCAGGGACCTAGGGAGCAGTGTCAATGGGAAAGGAACAACTCAGAAAAGGTATGAATATTTATAGATTTATAAGAGCGTTATGTGACAAAATTGTATATGTAGAAGCTTGAACTAGTGTATGTTTTGCTGTGTATATTACCAACAATCACAATAGAGGTAAAAATTTAACGTATTTCAGTGAATTAAATATCCACAGAATACTATCATCATTTTGTAAGAGATGTATTTAATAGTATTAGATTTGGTCTATGAAACAATATACCTACTTGCTAATAATTTCTGGTCCATTAATTACAGAAACGTGCGCTCCAACTTCATTAGCAACAGCTCTGGCAATCATTGTCTTTCCAGTACCTGGAGGGCCATAAAGTAATACTCCTCTGGGGGCAGGAATTCCTAGAAGAAAATCGAGAAGGTTGGATTCAGCACAAGTATTGTCATAGGACTTCAAACATGAGTTACAAAATATATATTTTTACCTTGCATCACAAAATTAGAGTCATCCCTCCTCCCCCACACTTAAAATCATGTGCTAAACAGCTCAAACAAGTATCCCAATGTCTTTCTATCTTTCTAGACTGATTTGAAAAAAACAACAAAAAAAAACGGCTGGACACATACATTGTTACCAAGCTCCATCTACACAACACAGTTCAAAAACCAGGAAATAAAGAGCAGGCTAGCTGGGCAAGCATTAAATACTAACCATAACCCAAATTTACATCCAATGAGGTATCTTGGACAGTATTAATAGCAAAATGTCCATCCCAGGGTTCCCTTTATATTCATCAAAAAAGGAAAAAGCTGCGAGAATAATGTTCAACACACTCGCTGCCATCGAGTCAGTCCTGACTCAGGGACCCTAACGGACAAGGTAGAACTGCCCCTCCAGGTTTCTAAGACTGTGCTGTTTACAGGAGTAGAAAGCCTCCTTTCTCCCTCAGATTAGCTGGTAGTTTTGTGGGGGTTTTAAAAATCATTTTATTGGGGGCTCATACAGCTCTTATCACAATCCATACATACATTGTATCAACATTTGTACATTTGTTTCCATCATTCTCAAAATATTTTCTTTCTGCTTGAGCCCTTGGTAAGTTTTTTCCCCTCCCATCCCCAAACCCTTGATAATTTATAAATTGTTACTTTTTCATCTCTTACACTGACCAGTGTCTCCCTTCACTCACTTGTTGTCCCTCCCCCTGGGAAGGGGTTATATGTAGATCACTGTGATGAATTCCCACCTTCCCCTTCCCCTCCTGGTATTGCTGCTATCCTTATTGGTCCCGAGGGCTTTATGTCCTGGATTCCCTGTTTCCAGCTCTTATCTGTACCCATGTACATGCTCTGGTCTACCCAGATTTATAAGGTAGAATTGGGATCATGATAGTGGTGGGGAGGAAGCATTAAAAACTAGAAGTTGTATGTTTCATTGGTGCTATATCGCACCATAACCGGCTCATCCCTTCCTTGTCCAATTGTCCAATTGTCCAATTGTCCACAGATGGGCTTTGGGTCTCCACTCTGCACTCTCTCTCATTCACATTGATATGATTTTTGGTTGTGGGTCTTTGATGCCAGATACCTGATCCCATCAACACCTAATGATCACACAGGCTGGTCTGCTTCTTCCAAGTGGACTTTGTTGCTTCACAGCTAGATGACTGCTTATTTATCTTCAAGCCTTTAAGACCCCAGGCGCTATCTTTTGATAGCCAAGCACCATCTAGCTGGTAGTTTCTAACTGCTGAACTTGAGGTTAAGAGTCCAACACATAACTCACCGCACCAGCAAGGATCCAATAAGACACATCAAATGTACCCAGAGGATCTGGGCAACAACTGTGGAGGAAGCTCCAAGTTTCCTACAAACCAAGTCAGACCCTTAACTATTTGCCTCAATACAAAGATATCTGTATATAGCTACATTTCCTAACAAAAATATTTTAACTAAAATATTTGAATGTTTGATTTATTTATTGAGACATTACAGCTGACAAGAAATTAATCTTACATCCAATCCAAACAATTGTGCAAGTATTCATTTAGAAGAAACAGTAACTCAAATCACAGTACAGAGATGAAACCATAGAAATTGGCTTTCCTAAGTAGCATCTGCAAGTAACTGGTACCTTCTACGTACCTAGCCCTCAGGAAACAAAAACAGGACAGGGAATAACCATTAGGTACTAGGAATTAGTAAACTGCTTATTAGTTGTAACTTTAACACTTTGGGGTATAATAAACTTAAGAAATCGTACCATAACTCTTGAAAAGTTCAGGCTGTTTGAGAGGCAATTCAATTATTTCTCTAACTGCTTTCAGCTGACTATTCAAGCCTCCTACCATATCATAAGTTACTTTGAATTGGTTGCCTTGTTCTTTTGGATTTGCACGAATCTTTGTAAAATTGACTCTTGTTGTTGAAGAAATAAAATAAAAATTATCAGTGTTTAATTTGACCCCCATACTGGCCAGTTTTAGCAATCTCTCTTCATTGATCACTGGTTTATTTCCTTCTTTGGCAGACTCAAAACTACACTTAACACCTGCGCCTTCCTCTAGCCTAAGTCCACTATGCTCCCCAGGGCTTTGTGCAACATCAAACAAAATGCCATCAGCTTTATTTCTAATTCTGTCATCTACTGGTTTGCAAGGAGTACTGCTTGATGCTGGTTCCTGAGGCTCTTCCAGATGTAACTGACTCAGTGGTAAGGACATATCCAAGCTACTGGTGTCCACGCTGGACTCCTTTGAGGCTAATTCTTGGGCAGCAGTATCCTGGTCGTTAGGAGGCCATCCCAGTATCATGCCATCCGCTCCTTTCACTCGCAATACTTGCAGCTTGCACGGTTTTCCATAGAATGTACAGTACAGAGAGTTGCCTGGTAACACAATCTTGCCATCTAAAAAAACAAGTTATCAAATATATGTTATCACAAATTTTACAAGTCTGCTAACAAAGGTACAGAACTGAAACTACAAAAAGAGGACCCAAAATTCACCTATCATAAAGCAATAGAGACATAAGAAAATCAAGATTATTTGAGATCTCTACACTTAACAGAATTAAGGTCTTAGACTAAGTATACCAACAAATAATCAAGTGTCCCACACTGGATATCTAACGCAAGCAAGCACTCCCAAGTAACGAGTGTCACTAAAGCAAAGGCTCAGGGTTCTGCAGCTCACAGCTGTATCAGTAACAATGTCCACAAACAGTCATAGTCTCTCCACTCCTTACCTGTCCAACAATTAGCTGGGAGCAATAAAGAAATAAAAACACTGTAAGGTGTGTATATATATATATATATATATATGTATAAATGGCCTCAAAGATAATTTTTAACTATTTTGTAACTTCTCAAAACTTAAGAATTTAAAATGTCTCACCTAGCTTTCTCAGAAGACAACCACTCAGCTCTTTTTCATTAATCTCTATATTTTTGTTGCTGTAAGAGATGAGATGGGGAGGGGAAATAAAGGAGATAGATATTAGCATTAGGTACACAAGAAAATAAAAGGTAGTATGAAATTGCATGTGCAAAATATGGGTAATACAGATCTGATCAAGCAAGTAACTCATTTACAATCTGACAACAATTTTCACAAGACAGGATCCCCGGTGGTGTAATGAGTTATGAGTTAGGCTGCTAAGCTCGCGGTTAGCCATTTGAAAGGACCAGTCACTTTGTGGAACAAAAATAAGGTTTTTGAAAACTCCCATAAAGAGTTAAAATCTCTGAAATCCACAGTTCTACTTCATCTATAGTGTCACTATGAGTCAGAATGTACTTCATGGCAGTCAGCATCAGGGTCAGGGTCAGGGTCTTGTTTGGTTTGGACGAAACCACAACACTTTTTGGTAATATCACAGCCATGATAATACCACTTTTAATTCTGTATTCTAGTTTCCTTAAAAGAGTGTTCTTCAAAAATATAAGGTACTTGTAATTAGTAGGAATGACATCAGTGAGTCCAATCAGTATTTACCAGAATACATAAAGTCAGATTAAGTCATATATCAACAGGGTAAGTACTATACAGTGAACCCTCGTTTATCGCGGTTAATCAGTTCTAGACCCTACCGTGATAAATGAAATTCCGCGAAGTAGGATTCCTTATTTGTAAATCAAATATTTTTGTAGTTAGAGCATAGAGGACATGAAAAAACACCCTTCAGTCACCATTACACTCGTATTACCCAATTTATTAAATGAAAAAGGGAAAATACAGTAAAACATTTTGGACATTACAATTATCATTTATTATTTATTATATTATTTATGGCATCAAGCGTGTACAGTATGAGCCAATCAGTGGCAGTAATGACAGAGCATGCGCTGTTACGCAAAAACCGCGATAGAGTGAAGCCGCGGAAGTTGAAGCGCGAAGTGGCGAGGGCTCACTGTATTGCTGTTTTTAATACTAATCTCTTATACACATACAAAGGCATGCATAAACATATACACACATATATAAATATGTATGCAAGTATAAACGTGTGCATCTGTGCTCTAAAGCTGTGTTCTGATTTGTGGATATAAAGTTATAATAAATCATAATGAAAATGTATTTTTCAAATGTCAAAAACATTTGAAAATCACTAACCATGAAGAACATTAAAAACGACAAAGGGAAAAAAAGTCCAAAATGGATGTCAGAAGAGACTAAATCTTGTTTTTAAATGTGGAACAGCTAAAGCAAAAGGAAGAAATTATAAAAGGAGTGAAGAGAAAATTACTAAGAATGGCTCAAGAAGACAAAGTATTATAGTAAAATGCGCAAAGACCTTTCTAACCTGGAATTAGAAAACTAAAAGGGAAGAACACATTTACCATTTCGTAAGATGACACAAATGAAACAATTCAAGCTTCTGATTGCAAGTCTAAGAATTCCAGGAGCAAGATATTGAGGAAGCATCATAAGAATATGAAAGTGGGAGAAACCCTGCCCCCCCCCACACACACACACACACACAGTGTACTCCTATGTGGCGCTGTTTGGCAGGTAGCACTCTCACAAGTACTGTTTTTCATGTTGCATAGTTCTACACACACACACACAACCTTGCTCTTCTCGTTACTTTCCTTTCCACTTCCTCCATGTTTCCCTTTCTGCGCCCTCCCCAACTACTCCAGAAACCCACCTCAGCTAGCAACATCCACTCGTTCCCCCCAGTGGACAGGGCTAAGCCCCCCAACAGTGAGTTCCCAGTTAGCACCTCAGGTCGGTTCAGCAACTAACACAACACCTTTTGTCTTTCCTTTTCCTTCCTCCAAGGCACTTCCTTCCCTTCCCTTCTGCTGATCCAGCTGCATGCGCACGCACCTCAGTCCCACCTCCAAGCTCAGCAGTGCCCCTGACTTCACAGCCAGTGCTTGTACCATGTGTAGCACATTTGTTCTGATTTGTCACTTTTTCTCTCTTTTCTTTTACTTTCATCCCATGTCCTTGTTTTTCACATGCTAGGGTTGTGTTTCTCCTTCCCTCCTTTTTTTGCTATCTTTCCTAAGAAGTCAAGAACTGGTGACCATACCCAGCAACATTCAGCTGTGCTAAATTTGTCAAACTGGCTTATCTATCAATATTCATCACTCCCACCAAATGGCTTGATGGGAACATGCAGTTAGGGCAACACTAATAGAAGGCATTGGCCAATTTTACTTGCTACTTCCCTAGCTACAAGGATGAGCCATCTCAGAAGCTGAGAGAATTCCCAGAACCATCAAGGAAGAAGAGCCATAAGTGAAACACATTGAAAATCCTGCCTGAAATAATGGAGGCAGCAGGTAGGTGGGGCTAAAACAAGACCAGAGGTCAAAGCAAGGAGACCATGAGACAGAGCAGCAGAGTCCCAGCACCGCCTGGGAGAACGGCACAGACCGGGCTGTGCTCTCTTCTGCTGCAGTAGATCACTAGGAGTAGGAACCAACTGGATAACAAGCAAGCATGCCTTTTCTGAATTTGCCGATTTTGGAAAAAGTCTTTTCATAAATAACTTACTTCATTCTCTTTATAGAACTTATACAATATCTCTTCAGGAAACTTAAACCCTATAGTATATGTCATCTGAAGAGGTAGAAATAAGAAAAACTAATGTAATGGTGAGATACAATCCTTTAATATGGCCCTTCTAGCCATAATTCCATGTTACATATTACAAAACTGTTGACTCTATGCCTGTGGCTATAATTCCATTTTGGAGTGAGTTATATGCTACGCTAATGAGAAGATTAAGGTGGAATTAAGACACTTGTGACCAAGCCACACCTTTTGCTTCCTTGGGCTATTGTGTGCTGAAAGATACAAGCTGTACTTCAAAGCCATTCTCTGTGTTTAAAAGAAATCTAGGACAAAAAGAAATCTCAGCACCAGCACCTTTAAAACAGACATTCAAAAAATCTGTTTGAAGTGCAGGAGGAGGCCAGAGACACCACAGACTAAGACATGAAATCTATAGGACAGAACCAAGGAGCATCGCCTAGACCAGGGGCCAGCAAACTGCAGGTCGAGAACCATTATGTGGCTCTTTTGGTTAATACCTGTGGGTCTGAAATAAAACTGATAACTTTTTAATGTTATTGAGATAAGAGAGATTTCGTTTGTAAAACTTATTTATGGCGCTTAATAATTTTTAAGTTGTTTTGAGGGACAAGATTGGCTCCTCTGTCTCAAAAGTCTGATGACCAATGGCCTAGCCTATAAAGCTGAGACGAGAGTGACAGGAAGGCTTTCTGGTCCATGGGGGCAGAAGTCAAGGGATCATATGGCTGGTAGGCTGTGGAGTTGAGAGGGACCTCGCTACTAGCTGAGAAGTGTTGCTGTGGATAAATAACTCTATCCTTACAACCTACTAATCCCGGCTAGAGGTAACCTGTTAACTCCCCTTCTAGATCCCTATAGTTGTGAATATTGCCTGTGGTTCTGTAGGAAATTCCAACAAATTATTGACATAGGGTTCGAGGAGAGGAAGGATGAAGGGTTGAGGGCATATCTGATCCCTGCCCCATGGCAACAGAGAAACCAAAGGAGGTCAGATATGGTCCTCCTCTTCCAAGCCATTTTTGAAAATGGTTATAATGGAAACTTATTCTAGAAAATAGGCAGTATCTAAGAAAATAAAGATTGATATTCTGATTGGTAACCACCATGCAGGCTACTTGTTTAAGTACAGGGAGTAACAAAATTAAAATTGCACCTATAAAGAAATATGCCCTTGGAGAGTTCTCAAAACATTCTTCACTCTCTCGCCTCTGTAACAGTAATCTATCAGCAGAGGAGGCCTCTGATTTTTCACGTTCTAAGTGACCAACTGGTGAGCATGTGCTGAGAGCTAACAGGGCCATGGGATAAAGTTTAGGTCAGCACTATTAGCAGGCCTACATGGTCAAATCTAAACCATGTTCTCCAATCACTGTATCGGTAATAAAAAATTTTTAAAACAAACTCACTGCCATCGAGTCAATTTCAATTCATGGTGACCCTATAAGATTAATATAGTCATATAAAATAAGGAAATTTCATGGATCAAACATGTAAAAACTAAATAACAAGCTTAAATTTGGTTGTTTCCAGTACTCTAAATAAATGCATAATTAAGACTTTATAAAATTATGAAAAGATAGCTACAAATTTATGTAAGAGCAGTAAAAATACTCAGCCACTTCATTTTAAGAAAACAATGGGTGCATATACAATCATTTCCACTAGGAGGAGCTCTAACCTTTCTTACAAAACTATTGCAAATGAATGATAGTGCACTAAAATGATTCTTTTTTAATTAGAAAATAATTTTTTCTTTGCTCTAGTGCCAGATTTAAAAGCATAAAATTTTTGAAATGTTAAATACATATAAGCCCAGGGGCCAAATCAAGGGCAACCAACAAACACCTAAAACTGCTAAGACACCTAAAAGGCCAATAAGTTTGTAAAAACCAAACTCACTGCTACGGAGTCAATGAAGACTCACAGCGATGCCCTGTGGGTTTCCGACACCGTAACTCTTTATGAGAGTAGAAAGTCCAGTCTTTCTCCTGAGGAGCTGCGGATGGTTTCAAACTGCCAACCATGCAGATTGAAACCCAACAAGTAACCTCTGCAACATGAGGGACCAGTTTGTAGTCGGTAAGTGATCAGAAATGCTAATTCCAGTCAACTGAGTAGTCCTCACCACACAGAGGGCTCCTGTTTTTTAGTTTTTTAATTGAGATGTAATCCATTGATATGGCCTTCTAGCCATAATTCCTCATGTATTATAATTCTGAACTCTACACCTGCAGCCATAATACCATTTTGGGTGAGTGTTCTCTGGTATCCTAATGTACAGGATGGGGGGGTGGAGGGTGGTGATTAAGGCCTGACTTTAGTAGAAGGTGTGAACCAAGTCATACCTTTTGTTTCCTTGGAGATTTGGTCTGCTGAAAGACAAAGTCATTCGTCTGTGTATAAGAGCCCTCTCCCATCTTGGACACAAGAGAGAAATTCCAGGACCACCCAAAAACACAATCCAGATCTCTGTCAGAAGTTGCAGAGGCTAAACCCACAGGTACCAGAGACTCTGAGGCACAGAAGTTAAGGGATACAGCAAAGGAGCGGTGCTAAGACAATGGTTTGTGAAGCAGAACAGGCATGCTCCCCAGTATGTAGGGGAAGGAAGGACGATTTGGCAGAGGATCTGAGGAGCAGAGACTTCGTTGTTGGCTGAGGAAGCGTGTTGCTGTGAACAAATGATTGTATCCTTGCTGTTTACTGAACCACTTTTGGTAACCTATTAACTTATCTAATAAAAATTAAAATAAACTCACTGCCACTGAGTCCATGCCAACTCAGTGACCCTATAGGGCATGGGAGAATTGCTTCTGTGAGTCCCCGAGACTGTAACTCTACAACAGAAGTACAGTCCCATGGAATGAGTATTGTTCAGATCAAAGATCTTGCGTATTTCCTCTGGGTTGATAGAAATAGGCAATTCAGAAACTGGATATCCAAAATGGGGGGAGATAAAGGCATGAAGTGGCTAGCTTAAGCTTTTCATGGGGGTGCTCATTATTACAATTTAAGTGAAACAAGGGAGGATCCCCACTGCATATTTTTCTCCTTTCCTGATGGGTCTGGCTGGGGAAGAGAGTAGGTGAAGGTGTTGGTCAGATTATGATTCAGGTGTAACCATCAACAGGTGGAAAATATAACTGAAACATGTGGTGTAATTGTAATGCACCAAGTTGGCTCTGACCCATAGTGACTGCATAAGAAAACAAAATACTGCCTGGTCCCGAGTCATCTCAGAATCATTCCTGTGCCTGAGCTCATTGTTGCAGCCACTGTGTCACATCATATCTTTGAGGGCCTTCATCTTTCTCTGTCCCTCTAACCTACCAAACGTTGACTAGTCTCTCCTGACATGCCCAAGTACATCTCATTATCATTGCCTCTAAGGAGCACCCTGGCCATACTTCTTCCAAGACAGATGGCTAGTCCTTTTGCAATCCATGGTACTCTTCTCCAGCACCACTTCAAATCCACCGATTCTTCTCTTATCTTCCTTATTCAATGTCCAATTTTCCTATGGCTTGGGGCAGGCAGAAAGTAACACTCTAAAGAGGTCTTGTGAAACAGATTTACTTAATGCAATACGTCTTTTGATCTCTTGACTGCTTGTCCAAGAGTATTGATTGTGGATCCTAGCAAGACAAAAATCCTTGACAACTTTGACCTTTTCTTCATTTATCATTACCTATTTGTTCAGCTATGAGGATTTTGGTCTTCTCTACATTGAGTCAGTTGTAAATTCACACTGAAGGTTAAAGATCCTTGATCTTTATTTATTAGCAAGTGTTTCAAGTCCTCCTCACTTTTAGCAAGAAAAATTGTCATCTGTGTATCACAGGTTAATAAGCCTTCTTCCAATGGATGCTGAATCTTCTTCATATAATCCAATTTCTCTGATTTGTTTAGCATACAGATTGAGTAAGTATGGTGAAAGGATACAATCCTGTCACACACCTTTCCTGATTTTGAACCATGCAACCAAGGGGCAGTTATGTGAACAGAACTAAAGCATAATGCAGTTTAAAACTAGAGCAACACTGAAAAAGGGAGTGGGATAGTGTTAATTTCTCAAGTATGAATGGGTTAATGACTAGAAAAGCTAGGAGGTGGCCTAAGATACCACTCATTGCCATTGAGTCAATTCTGACTCATAACGAACCTACAGGTCAAGGATCCTCAAACTATGGGCCACATTTATCCGGCCTACCAGGTGTTTTTGCCCCGTTTTGTTTTTTACTTCAAAATAAGATACGTGCAGTGTGCATAGGAATTTGTTCATAGATTTTTTAGAAACTATAGTCCGGACCTCCAATGGGTCTGAGGGGCAATGAACTGGCCCCGTTTAAAAAGTTTGAGGACCCCTGCTATAGGTCACTATAGGACAGGGCAGAATTGCCCCTGTGGTTTCCAAGACATAACTCTTTACAAGAGTAGAAATTATCATCTTTCTTTTGAAGAGCAGCTGGTGGTTTTGAACTGCTAACCCTGAAGTTAACGGCCCAATGTGTAACCACCACGCCACTAGAGCATTAGATATAGTCAACTCATAAGGCCCCTTCTAGTCACAATGCTTTATGTAATGCATTACAATTCTGGACTCTATGTTTGTGGCTAAGGACCAGAGAAAGACTTGGCTGGCTAAGAAGTGTTGCTGAAGACCAATGACTATGTCCTTACTGTTTACTGATCCTAAGTTATGGTAACCTGTTAACTCCCCTATTAAACCCCTCTAATTGTGTATTGTTTATGAGTTCCATGTGACCACTGCGACGAATTACCAAACTCTATACAGATGTAGTGGTGTGGGAGGAATCGTTGGTATCACAGTAAGTAAAGAAGGATGGAGTGTGGAGGCATGTCTGATCCCCACACCTCATGGCAATAAGGAAGCCAGAGGCCAGATTGGCTGCCAGCTATTTATTGCATATATGTACTATATGTACCATAATACACCTGGCAGCTCAACTGTTTTGTATATATGGTACATGAGATACGTGTCCCACATATTGCTTGTGGGAAGCTATTGCTCCACTGTATCTAGTGAGGTTCACTGTATCCCATTGTGAACTCTAGAGTTTTATTGACCACATAATATACAGTCAGATGCTGCTGAAACTGATGTTACATATTGCATGACTGATAGCTTTAGGTGTTCAGTAAATGCTCAATATGTGCTTTCCCTTTATGCTTTTTATTTAAATTGTAATTAAATATTCTGAAAATGTCTTCCCATTTTTAAATGATAACAATGTGCCAACAATCAAGCTTAAAATCTACAGGCACCAAAAGTGAAGAACACTTTAAAATCAAGCTAAAATGGGAAAATGTTTTGTGATTCATAATATGTAAGTTCCCCCAAATGTTATTAATGCAATATTGTTTTTAAAGATACCTTTATTAAAAGTAAAATTTTATACACACAAACTAGTATATACAAAGTTGCTAAGATCCTAGTAGATAAAGAATATCAGAGGCAATACAGCATATCTATGCTGACAGGTTGATTCAAATTAGCTATGAGAGACTATTTAAGCACCTGACAGAAATGACCATTTGCTTTATTAGACAGCATAATCAATGAGTTAAAATAGTCCATAATACATTTTGCTTGGGTAACCTTGAAGTGTTTTTTCCCCTACCCGCAGTAATTTCCTTCTTTATAACCAAGTAACAAAAATCCCTGTGTACACTATATACCAAGTTGAAAAATGTTTTAAAATGTTCACCTATAAAATAGCTGCTCTCGCTAACCTAACTTAAGAACAATTAGTTCTGGTGACATGGTCCTACTCAGTACTCACCCTCATGAGATCACTGAAGCTATGGCTGCTGTAGCAAAGTTTGGTGAAAAAATCTGATAGATCATGCCCAGCTATTAGGGAAAAATAGCTACTGAGGTCTGAAAGGCTTGCCTCAAATTTTTTTAAAAAGCCATCAAAGCAAGGTGTCAGCTAAGTCCACACAGAAGCAGCACACTAGACTTTGATCCAAGAAGGGAACAGTACCAGAGCTAAACACCTACGTGGTAAAACGTTTTGATAGTGAGAGCCCACAATCCATTTGCAGGGTCCCTATGTGGATGGACTGTCCAATGAATCCCCAGTGACCACAGTCTAGGAATGTAAATAACCTTAAAGAGGCAAAGAGCATTGCAAAGTGGATTCTAGCAGCTATAGTTAGCCGGGAATGTAACACTTTATCATTAGATCTCCCTTTGACCTACTTTAAATTTATTGGGTTTTTAAAAAATATTTTGTTTTCTTTTTAACTGAGGCTTTTCTCTGTCTTATTTGGTCAATGGTGCTGGGCCTTTTGTGTTTTTGTCTTGGTGTTGTATGTTTTTCTGTATAGGGAAGTCTGGATGGGTGGGTATATGAAGACAGCAACTGTATTAATAATCACCTAGAGGAATGGAAGGAGAGGTTGGGGAGAAACGGGGAATCAACAACAATGGGTACAAGGAGGAAGAAAATGTTCCAAAGATGATTGTGATGATAATTCCACAACCAACTCTTCTTGATATGACCGGACTATTGAATTGTATGCTATGTTAATTATATCTCAATAAATCTATCTAATCATAAAACACAACAAAGTCCCTATTTATCTATCTTATACCATTACAGACAGTAGGCCACTATGGTCACTTGAAATGTGGCTAGTGTAAAATGGTATGTGTTGCATATACACTGAACTATAAAAACTTTAATTCTAAGAAAAGTCAAATAGCTTGTAATTTTTATATATTAAAATTTTAAGATTTCAGATTCACTCTTACTTTTTAAATACGGGTACTAAAATATATATATATAAGTGATTATGTGGTTCACATTTGTGACTCACATTAAATTTCTATTAGAGATGATCCAAAAAGTTACCAAAGAAAAGAGCCAAACCTGAAGGCCACGTCCATCTCCTCGGCCTGTAGCACAGCACCAACAATGGGCTGAACCTGGATGATATCACCAGGTTTCACGCCCACATTCTTCTGTGCTATTTCACTCAGGCCAACTTTGCCTCCAGGAAATCCTGACACCGGCCAGGCAGTGTAGACCTGCCCAAAACATAGAAAATAAATAATTCAGAAAATAAGTATCCACAGACTACCATCCATTTATAAAACAGAATATACGTGGGATTCAAAATGTTCCTGGAAAAACAGAATTAAAAGATAATAGAATTTTCCTCAAACTTTTTGAAGTCCCTTCATACTAAGCACAACCAAGTAAATGGAGCTATGCAAAACGCAGCACCTACTCCAAGAGTTGCAATCTGATAAAGAATAATAATATTATATGGGTTCACAAGAAATAAACATAAAATTTCTTAAGGTTTATATCATTTGACAAAGCTCAAAAATGATTACATAGTAATTCTGGTATAAGATGGTTAAGAAATAAACATAAAATTTCTTAAGGTTTATATCATTTGACAAAGCTCAAAAATGATTACATAGTAATTCTGGTATAAGATGGTTTAAGTGTTGATGGTGGATTTAGAAGGAAAAAAAAGCATCCGTAGTTGATAAGAAAATGAGGAAATCATAAAAGATAAGACAATTAGATAACAAATAACCTAATCTAGAACATTAACTACACCCAAGAAGTGATGAGGGGCAAGTCACAAGAACTTCACGGGGGCATGGATCTCATCAGACTTAAATGTTAAGGGAGAGCTGTGAAGATTTTTTTTTTTTTTTGAGCTGTGAAGATTTTTGGCTCAAGATAACAAGTTAAGATTTTAAGTGTATTGTCCAATCCACAAAATTTTCTCCACAAGATTTTTAAACGTATAAACCCAGAACAATGAAAAAGTGAGGGGAGTCATCAACAGAAGAGAGATTCCTAAATGTTTCCAAAGAAGCTCCACCGTGAATGAGAGACAGTGACTGAGAGATAAGCAGAGGAGACAGAGCAGCAGGCAAAAGTTAGTAGGGAAAAGGCAACCCAGCAAAAATGATCCAGGAAAAAAAAAAAAGATCTAGGAAAGGCTTTGAGCATGGATTCTCAGGTCTGAAGATGGCAACAAGGGAAAGGGCAGAAAAGAGGGATATTAGTGAATACTTACATACACAAAAAATGACCTTTGTACTCCAAAATAGCATTTTGGTAAAAGAATATAACAGGCTAAGAAAAACAGAACTTTCAGTGTGTATATCAGCATTATTAAAGGAAATTCTTCTATGTAATAGCACCGGGGCTGCCCTAATCAAGAATCACTGATACTGCGCAAAACAAAACGAGTTATTACCTCATCTAGCATCGAGAACAATGTTCAAAAAGATCAGAAAACAACAAATGCTGGAGAAGGTATGCAAACTAGAAGCCTCATACACTGTTGGTGGGACTGTAAAATGGTGCAACCATTGTGGCAAGTGGTATGGTGCTGCCTCAAAAAAATTGGGAATAGAAATATCATAAAACTCACCGATCCCTCTATTTGGTATATAGCCTAAGGAAATATGAGCTTTCACAACAGCAAAAAGACAGAAATAACCTAAATGCACATCAGTGGAAGAATGGACAAACAAACTTTGGTACCGCCACGCAATGGAAAATATTCCCAACACTAAAAGAATAACACTTTCGCCCTATAGGACCAGTGGTGTGAGTGGAAAAACAAGGAGGGTAAAGGGAGAAGGGGTAGGAAAGAGGGAACCGATTACATGGAACTGTGTGTGACCTCCTCCCTGGGGGACAGACAACCGAAAAGTGGTTGAAGGGAGACGTCGAACAGGGCAAGAAATGACAAAATACCCATTTATAAACTATCAAGGGTTCATGTGGGAGGGGGGAGCGGGGAGGGAGGGGAAAAATGAGGACCTAATGTCGGGGGTTTTAATGGTGAGAAAATGTTTTGAGAAACGATGTACAAATGCGCTTTACACAATTGATGTGTGTATGGATTGGGATAACAGTTGTATTATGAGCCCCTAATAAAATGTTAAAAAAAAAAAAAAAAGAATAACACTTTCTACCTGGTGAACTAACTGGAAGAAAAACATATTCATGCCCAAATCAAATAAATTAATTAAATGGAATGTGTGAATTACAAAACAATATCATTAACAAAACATGTTAGGAAAATATTTGCTGGAAATAATTTTAAAATATAGTCACATATAAACAGGGAACTACCAGAAATCCATGCTGGATTAAGAAAAGGATATGGAATTTGTCTATTAATACTAGTGTCACACAGATCTTGTCTGAAAGAGAATACTAAAAAGATGCCTACTGTGTTCTACTAATTACACAGAGGCACTAGATTGTGTGGATTGTAACAAATTATAGATAATATTGCAAAGAAAGGGAATTCCAGAGAAATTAATAATGCTCATTTGCTACCTGTACATATATCAAGAGGCACGTATTTGAACATAAGGGGATAACTATATTCTACAAAATTGGAAAAGTATTTGGCAGGGTGGTATTCTTAAATTTAATTGTATTCTAAACAAATAATCCAAGAAGCCAGCTTGCACGAAGAATGCAGCTTCAGAATTAAAAGAAGAGTCATTAACCACCACCCGTGATATGCAAATGACATAGCCTGAAAATGAAGACAACTTGAAGCACATACTGATGAAGGGAAATGACTACACATCGACTTCAGTAAGGACTACAAGTACCATAAATCCTCCCAGCCAATAAATCTAATAAAGAAAACATTAACATTGTCAAGGACTCGGATCAACACTTGGATCAACACCAACATCCATGGAAGCAGCCAACAAGAAACCAAATGCTGTTACTGCAACAAGTAAAATTGCTGGAAAAAACCTCCTTTGACATTCTTCGAAAGCAGAGGTCACACTTTGATAGTTTCGGTGCACCTAACCCAAAACATGCATGCCAAAGCTCTATTCAAATGGCAGTATTAGCAGATAATCATCATGAACTTGCAGAAGAATAAACAAAGTCATCTGAAGTGAAACAGCCAAATGTTCCTTATAACCAAGGACCATATCTTGATTACTTTGGACCCATCATTAGGAAAGATGAGTTACTAAAAAAAAAAAAAAAGTGATACTTAGTAAAGTAGATGGTCAGTAAAAGGGAAGAAAACCATTAATGATAGGGATGAACACAAAAGCCTAACAACAACTGGTTCAAAGCTATCAAAAATCATGAAGATGGCACAAAACCAAGAACATTTCATTACGTCATTATGCTATGAGGTCACTATGAGTCAGCAACTCCAAAACACCCCTAAGATAGGCATAGATATGAGAGAATTTATATATAAGGAGGTTTCACAAAGTTCATGGAAAAATAGAATTAAGAGATTTTAATTGTTTTAAGAAGCATTTACTTTTTTTTAAAAGTCATTTTATTGGGGGCTCATACAACTCATCACAATCCACATATACATCAATTGTATAAAGCACATTTGTACAATTGTTACCCTCATTATTTTTTTATTTTATTGAGGGCTCGTACAATTCTTATCATAGTCCATATATACATCCATTGAGTCAAGCACATATGTACATCTGTTGCCCTCATCAATCTCAAAACATTTGCCCTCTACTTTAGCCCTCAATATCATTTGCTCATTTTCCCCCTCCCTCCCCCCTCCTCCCTCCTGAACCCTTCATAATTCATAAATTATTATAGTTTTGTCATATGTTACACTGTCTGACGTCTCCCTCCGCCCTCTTCTCTGCTGTCCATTCCCCAGGGAGGAGGCTATACTTAGATTCTTGTAATTGGTTCCTCCCTTCTACCCCGCATTCCCTTCACCCTCCAGAAAGAAGCATTTACTTTTATTGCTTATAATAAGCATTTAGCTATATTTAAATTTTCATAGAATTTTCCCTGAGATCTTCAAAGTCTCTTCTATAATAGGGTGTCATTTAAATGTAGATTGTTTCCCATTTATTCTTGCTGGTGTTGGAAAACTGAGAAACATCTCAAATCTTCCCAAAGGATGTGAAAAGGCTCTTACCTCTTGCTTTCCATCCAAACTGGTAAGCAACACCGACCGACCAATACATATATCAGCAGCTTTCATAGTACTGAGTCCAAATTGAACAAGGGAATTTCGGAATGTTTTTGGAACTTTGTCATCTTCATGAAGAAAAAAAAATTGTTTTACTATTTTGCAACTGAAATGAACACTTACTTTCTCTAACAATAAATAAAAATTCCTATCAAAAAAATAAAATAAAAATTCCTTGGGTACATAATCAAATGAACGTAGTTACCCTATACCTGTGGGGCGGGGAAGGGGGGGAGAGGGCAGTAACCAAACTACTTTTCCAATCCTCCTTATTAAAACAAAACACATACATTTAAAGCGAACCTTTTCTGGGGGTCTGCTGACAATTAGCGTGCTAATTAAAAATACAATTTTGTTTTATATGCAAGTACTAGTTTTAAGTCTCTTGTTTCCAAAAGAACTTAATATACTTACAATAGACTAAGCTTTCTTAGGAGTCTCTGGGTGCCACGAATGGTTGTCAGCATTTCCTAAAGCAGGCAATATCGCACCCCTGGGGACACCAGGATGATCCAGGGGGCTGCAAAGTCGTTATACTATGAACTGACTCAATGGCATTGAATTTGGAGTTTTGGTTTATGGACTATAGTACAAAAGGGTTTAACTGCCAAGAGGATACTGAGTAATTTTTTTCTGAAAAGAGGGCAATATGGACGCGATGTGCATGAAAAATAAAAAAGAGGGCAGTAGGTTGAATAAATTTGGGAATTTCTAGGTGGCTCCAAAAGTGGCTGAAAAGCTGGAGGTTCAAAAGGTCATAACCTTGAAGCCCTATCGAGTAGCTCTACTCTGCACACATGGTTGCCAGAGGATTCAAGGCTGTGAACTTTCAGAAACAGATAGGAGGGCTACCTCAAAAAAACTGGAATTGCACTGGGCAGGGCAGAGCTTTCACAGCATGCATTTCCTCCCACTAGGCAAGTGTGAAGCAACTCTCGCTGAGTTAGTGCACCCAGTGGCATTGCCTGGGAAGGTTCTCTCTGATCAGTAAATTTTTTCATGTAAGCACTTTCGTTCAAGCCTCATTTTTTCTGTGGGCCAATTTATGAGAATGGCATACAGCTTTGAAATTCTATTTCCTGCTCGGGAAAAATGCTGTAGAAACTGCAGTGATGTTGAACATACCCTACAAGGACCGCACTATGGGAAAAACTCAAGCGTATGAGTGCTTTTCTCGTTTCAAAAAAGGTGAAATGGTGTTTGATGACAAAACCTCATTCTGGATGTCAGTCAACTTCCCAAATGGACTGAATCAGCTTGTAGTGCATTTGGAGTTCCTTCCACCAGATCAGACTGTTAATCAAGCTTTATATTTAGAGGATCTGAAAAGATTGCGTAACAGTGTGAGACAAAAAAGGCATGATTTGTGGCAGATGGGGGACTGGTTTTGCCACCATGACAATGCACCTGCTCACACAGTCATCTCAGTGCACCAGTTTTTGGCAAAAAACAGTATGCCTCTCTTGCCCCAAGAACCTCATTCACTTGACCTCGCTCTGTGTGACTTTTTGTTTCAACTTCTTTTTGTTTCTGCTAAAGGGCAGATTTGATGTCACAGAAAGGGTGAAGGAAAAAACGAGGGAGGTGCTGTTAGCCATTCAAACAGATGAACTTAAAAAATGTTTCCAAGAATGAAATCACAGATAGGACAAATGTACTCAATGTAATGGAGAATACTTTGAAGGTGATAAGGTTGCTTTGTAAAAAAAAATTAAATACATAGCTTTGGGGAAAAAGTTCCAGTTTGGGGGGAGGATACCCCCTCATACACCATGTACCACATTTTCACATTACAGGCTTCACTGCTGTTGTTGTTATGTGCCATTAAGTTGATCAATTCCATGACACAACAGGAGAGAAAAACTGCCCCACATGGCTTCCTACACAGCACCGGTTGCAGTAGGTTGTCAGGTCTTTTCTCCAGTGGAGCTGCTGGTAGAGCTGACAACATTTTAGTTAGCAGCCAAGCATGTAACCATTTTGCCACTAGTCTCCTTATAAAAACAAAACCAAATTCTCGATGCCAACTCATAGCAACCCTATATGGCAGGGTAGAACTGCTCCTGTGAGTTCTGAGATTGTTACTCTCTACAGGATTAAAAAGTACTTTTTCCCAAGTATCCTTAGAGCCTTCTTTAAATATTTCTGTGCTATCACTAATAGAAATCATGTAGTAGTTCCCATCAAAAAGCCTCATTTCCTTTTCCACTGTATTCAGAGCTAATATCTAAAATCGACTCAACATCTTTTTCTAGCAATTCATTGTTACTGTATTTTATAAAAGCACTGATTATGCATGTAATGGACATTTTAAAACTTTTTATCACAGCGAGTTTGAGAAGTAATGGTCTTGAAATAGATTTCTGACTCCAAAGCAACAAAAGCCTCGTACAAATTGGTGGGGAGAGACGAAGAGACAGCCCCCTTTAAGAAGTCCAGCAATGAAGGAGGAAGACAGGGGTGGTGGGACAAAAATGTGGAGCTTTTAGTTTAATTTAAGCAAAAGAAATGAGCAACGCATAGAATGCAGTTGAGAAAGTGAACTGGGATATACAGAACAAGTTGTCCTGTGATCTCTAGAGAAGAAAACACTATGTTAATTCTAGGAGTGTTTTAGGGTCTGCAATAGCCAAAAAAAACTTTGCCACTCTTTTCATCTGGTTTATTTTTCAAAGCTACTACACACGAAGTCTGCTGGAAGCTTTATAGACTAAGTGACTTTTTCAATAAACCTGTTTTTCCAAAGTTAAGAGAGCTGTGAATCTGGAGAGTGGCTTTAGCATCAAATGCCATCTTGACTCAAATATTGACTCCATCTTAGTACTTTTGCCAAAAGAAAACAACACCACTTCCCCCTGTATGGGGGCCATACAGGGTTGAACCGCCCCTGTGGGTTTCCAAGACTGTAAGTCTTTACGAGAGTAGAAAGCTTGGACTTTCTCCTGCAGAACAGCAGATGGTTTTGAACTGCTGGCCTTGTGGTTAGCGTATAGCCGTATAGCCACAAGTATTAGGGCTCCCAGTACTTGTGTAACCTGGGGCAAATCAACTGTTCACTTTTCTTCCTTTGTTTAAATGGCCGTCACAACACTCCCATCCCCCCCACCCCCAGGGCTTCTACCAAGAGTTAGTGAGCAATGTCTGTTAAGTGCCCAGCCTACTAAAAAACCAAGGTTTTCAGTGAACATACTTACCAAAAAATGCCAGGACATAACCTATTAACTATACAATTAATATGCAGAGACCAATCCAGGGCCATTTCTATCAAAAAGACAGTGATTCGTCGACCGTAAAGGGCCAAGCATTGCCCTCAAGAATTTCCAAAGCTGTCTCCCAATGAACAGGTGGGGTCCAATCTCCCCACCTTTGGGTTAACAGCCCCAGACTTCACTGTGTCTGACAATTCATAACTACTACTAAATGCCAGGCTCTGTGTAGTAGTGAAAAGAAAAAAATGGACCTTCATTTTTAAAGGTACAGTGATTTCTCTTGAGAAGGCTCGATCTACCCACCTCTTTCCAGATCTGGGTAGCTACTTGTTTGTTTTTCAGTAACGTACTCTACGCTCGTTAGATTTGGGCTCAAAGTACGAGCGATTTTGCAGCCTTAAAAGAAGGGGTTATCACTGACTGAGGCGAAGTCCTTTCCAAGCGCAACTTAGAAGTAAATTCGGGCTAACTGACAAAGCAGAGCTCTGAGAGAGAAACCCTTTCTTTGTGTCTAAGTTCTTTCTCCGCGGCAGCCGCGGCCAGAAGATGCCCGTCAGCCTGACGGCGGCTCTCACCCCTCGGTCTCACCCACTCTCCAAAGCCGCGGCGCTTCCAGGCAACCTCGCCAACTTTGCACGCCCCCCACCTCCCCGGTCTCGGGTCTGCCCCTCGGAAACCTTTACCCTTTTCTATGAAGTTGGTCACCACCAAGGTCCCCGGCGCAGAAGGAGCCGAGGCGCCCGCAGGAGAAGCCGCCGCAGAGCGAGACGCCGCAGCATTCTCCGCACTTTGGCTCAGCCGCTTTCGGTTCTTCTTGGAAGACATGGTCACAAGTCAGCATGGGCGAAGCGACTGCAAAGCCGGCTCAACGTGCGCGTTTATCCGAGGGCTAGCACTTCCGGGGCAGAAGTCAGCGTGGCCCCGCCCACCGCCGTAATCTCACGAGTGGAGCGCAGCGAGAGCCCGAGACCTGAGAGGCGTCCCCACCCGCCGTCTTCGGAAAAGTTCATCAGAGCTTCCCAAGCTTATCGGGCCTACAGTCTCCTTCTCTGGCTTTAATTACTCAGTTCCCCGTGGCAATTAAAAAGATCGCCTGTGGGGATCTACTTCCGCAACCGTCCCCGCCCCCAGCCCATGTTTACAGCGCCCCGCCCCCTCCCCCATCATCACCCACTTTGGGAAACAAGGAAGACGGATAACTGGCTACCACTACCGCTCGGATGGTGAATTTCTCAGAAGCTGTTGTTTTTTGTTTAACGGAATCTCCACCGCCTCCTCTCCTAAACAAAATAGCCTAGGAGTTGTTGTTAGGTCCCGATTTTGGGCGTTTTAAAAAAGTCCCGATTTTTGGACAGAATGCACGACAAACTAGGGAACGGTCTATTTGGTCTATATAGACCAAATTTTTAATCAAGAAACCACCACCCCCACCC